GTGTGAGGAGAACCAGTGGAGAACAGGGCAGGTGTCTTGGTGAGAGACCAGTGTTAGCTTATAGATATATACACGTTCGCTAACGATATACACTGTGCTCACAGTATTGTACAGATTAATACCATCGTTTATCAGTTAATAGCAACTGTTCAGATCCGATTTGTGTGTACGAGCTCTTTGGCAATGACGTTGCGTTGAATTTGAAATAGAGATGTTGTCTTATTTAAATTGTATAACATTGAAATGTGTAGCTGATCAGACATATGTCATGCTCATTAATATCCGTTCAGACTAACGTTAAATTTAGCGGTTTCTCGTCGAGAGACGGAGAGATATTTTTATTCCTGATACACGTTTTTGTTCCATAGGTGCATGTGTGGGAAATGCGAGGCAGTTCTTGCTTCGGCATCCCATGTTGAACTCCATCATTTCGCCGGGATGATAATCCTCCGATCTAAAGTGAACGCTACACACGACCGCGTTTTTCGAAGCCGATGCGGAAGAGAAATCCCGTCTCTTCACCTGCACAAACCGCACCCAGTCACGAAAGATAGATAGCATCAATCGTCCTTTTTTTTGTTAGGAAACCTGTGGACTCGATGTCCTGACAGGCAGGAGTTTTTGCAACCTCCACAAACACAATAATTTACCATGACGATGATAAATTAAAATACAAAAACTACCGAAAACACTGACTCATGACCGCTCTTACTGAATACCAACCTACTCAGCACTGAGCTGACGCAGAGCACACATACAACTCCCTCGTGTGACGTAAAATGATGCGATGCTGGAAAACGCTCACTTTATCTACTAAATTGGTGCCCTTATGTTGTTTTAAAACATTTTAAATCCTGCATTAACTTTTCATATGGTATTTTCATTCAAGGTTATGTATTAATTTAGTTTTTTTTTTTACCTGCAAGATCCCCTTTAAAGGGCAAGTCATGCGCTGGTTCCACCACCGGGCAGCAGAGTCATCAGACGTAAAGGTTGGCGGTGTCTCCTTGTACATCTGCATCTCCTGTCCTGCAGCACGACACAGCACTGAACTGTCCCTCCAAACCCCCCACAGGCTCTCTGAGTCTGTGACTGACTTAACACAAAAGGAAGTCGCAATTCACACTCGCTATTCTAGACATTAGCATTAGGCTTTTAAAGTGTTGATAATGAAGGAATTACATAATTTAAGCTACATGTAGTAGTGATATTTCTGTCATAAAAGTTAATTACTAAATATTTCAATAATTGAAGAAATAAAACGCTACTTCGGTTTGAGCCAGCTTTTTCCAAGCAAAACTAAATACAATCTTCAAACACATGTTCATTTGTTGTCATGAACAAAATGTTCAACTCAATATTAAATTCCACAGGGATCTTTGGATCCTTACAACTAGGCATGCAATTTGTGAATTATTATTATTATTATTTTTTTTTTTAAATAAATCTCGAACCACAGTGCTTCGCGGTGCTGCTGTTAAACTAAATAACATTTATAGAATAATTATGAACTTAAATTAAACAATATCGCAACATTTCGACAAATAGATTATTTGATCTGTTTTTACATTTTAATTTAGGGTTATTTAGCCTACATTTAATTAGAGTGAGATTTTCACCCTTGCCTTGTCCTTTCCTCATTGGGAAGCGCTCACATGGTAGCTAAACATGTTTGAGTAGATCCTCTGTACCTCTCGGTTTCAGATTACATAATCAGATAACATTTATTAAATATTTCGACATTTAAAGGCTTTAGACATAGCCGATTTTTTATCGTGACTGAGCTGAAGCAAGTGCATGAACCATTTTTGTTACGCACAGTTCCCGGAGACAGAGACGACAGATAAACTTTTGTCGTTAGCCTAATATGAATAAAAGTTCACAGTTTTGAATAATGCAGGCTACTCTATTCTTATCTCTATGACCAAAAAAATACGGAGTAGCCTATTAAGTTATTTTAGCTGTTATGAGAAAAGTAAATCCAAATGAACGCGCCGCCGCGTTTGTTGAACACTAATTCAACATGCCAGAATAAAACCCGACTTTAGAACAATGCATTGTGTGGTGTGCCAAAACACTTAATTATACGGCTGTGCGTCGGTGAGGAGGGGCGGACGGTGTTAAAACCTCGAGTCGAGCCCGCAGGGTTGACATCGGAGGTTCCTGGCCCAGGCAGAGAGTGCAGATACATGGCGGTCTCCGGCGCTGGGCGGGGCTCGGCACGAGCCACAGGAAAAGCGAGACATTTTTAGAAAAACGTCTCGTGCTCTTTTTAGAAAGGGGGGTGTGTCGCAGCGGCGAACACACAAACACACACACACAGTATAGAGCTCAGAAAGGATACGTCGCCGGATGGCGTAGCTCGCACGGCAGGCTGAAGGTGGCGAAGACGGCCGGCTTCTTCAGGCACTGTCCTAAGCTGGCTTTGTCGCGTTTCAACGGCGGCGTCGGCTTCTCAAGATCCAGTGATGCGGAGAGCTTCGCTGAAGAGAGGAAAATCAGAGATTCAGCCTCCGAGCCCCGCGTATATACTCTAAGCCACGCCCATTCTGGCGGGCTAGGACGCGTTGAGGGCGCAAGCGCCCTTCTTTGGATGTGACGTCACGCCGGGCTCACTGGTAGGCTGCTGCAGTTGCCGCAGGGCAGCCAATGAGCACGCTAGACAGCCTGCTCTAGGTCTGCTAGCTGCTGCACTGCGTTGACAATAGATACAAAATTAAGGATCATTTTTGACTTCAATATCTCGAGAAGATGAATCTTTCCCGTAGCGTAAGCTAAACTTACGCAATACGAGAGAACCTCTCGTAAGAGAACCACAATTAACGCTCTGGTTTCACAACTTTCACTTAGGAGCAAAAATCTGCCTTTAAACTTGAAAGAAATAGATATTTGACATTTATCGTGATAATTATCGATATCGACCGATATACAACAATTATCGTGATAATTTCTTTTGGCCATATCGCCCATATTTACCTGTCCAGTCCTCATCGATATAGTACACCCACTTCAGAAGACTCTAGTAATGAGTTGAATTTGGAGTGTTTGATTAGAGAGGCAAACAAAATGTGCACTAGATATGTAGTTATCTTATTTGCCAATGACATGATAATGACAGCGGACAACCATGCAGCCCTCATGTCACAATATAGTGGCATGAGGTCTATATTATAAGATATAATACATTAAGTTTTTTTGTTTATTTTCTGTCCTTAGTCTGCATTTTTTTTGTATAGTAACATGTAGGGCTGGTCGGTATGACGGTATATATCGTTACCGCGGTAGAAAATGTCAACCGCAACAGATTTTTTTATTCCGTGTATACCGCGAAATGCAAATAAGTGGGCGTGGTTAACTCGCGTGCAACGTGCGTAAGACTGAAACACTGAGAATTGTAAAAAGAAACACGGAGAAAGCAGATCAAGAGGATCCACAAAGGAATTACATTTTCTAAAGGGTTGTTGTTGTTGACGTGATATTTTCGGGGGGAAAGGTGCAGCAGTCACGAGAGCAGTGCAGCACCCATGCGACAGATTAGAGGAGTGCACGCTCGCAACGGGGAAAGCTGGACAACAACAGTTATCAATATCGTAACGAATAGAAATAACCTTAAATAATGTATAGTTATCTGCATCTTTCCGTCTCTTATGTATAGTTTTTAAACACGCAAACAGCTTGCCGCCCGTGGTAATGAACAGCTTCTTAAAGTGAATGTATAATCCTGTAGCCTATCTGAGGCAAAATTACTAAATATGCATCGCGAGTTATATATTTCTAACTCCAAACAATTGGCCACCGAACCAGCTGATAAAATCTTCCTTTGATTCGATCCGTGATTACAACTTGACACTCAAATTAATCGATCGCATTTACTGATGCAGAAGACGCGCGCGTGCACACGCACTGAGAGGGAGCGCGGTGTTCACCGGGCTATGGTCAAATAATGACGCAGTTACAAGGTGTGTATAATTTAAACTAGGCTACTTAGTCAACACTAACAGTAGCTGCTGTTCGGTTTTCAAACTGCTGCTCTCCTTCTAGTCACTTCTGAACTTCTATTGATTAAAGCGCAGGGTGACGGGTTGCCAGATATCACAAAAAGAGCAAAACAAGCCCCTTAAAAACGCAGTGTAGCCTAAGCAGACATGGCAAAAATGTACCGGGGAACACATTTAAACAACTAGTATTACTATCCTACAAAATTAAAAGGAAGTAACTAATTTATCATGAATAGAATAGTTCAATATAAAATATTCAGATATTATAAACTGATTGATGAAGTAAAGCATAACATGAGATTGAAAAATTATTCAGCAACACTTTATTTAAAGTTTAATTGCACCTATGAGTTGTATTTAATATCTATCAGTTGGGGGCAGTTTATCTAAAAGTTGATGAGTGTGTTTTGTTTATATTTAGCTGTCTAAATAGTTTACCAAATAAATCATTTACCAAATAAGTGAAAAAGAAAACAATGTGAAGTACTTTTCATTTCTAAAGTATTTGGGTTTATTTATTATACAAAGCCCTTTTTGTCGATTTTTCGAGAATAACTACTATATAAATATCTATATCAAGAAATATATCGTTACCGTGAAATAAAATGAGTCATACCGTGAAATAGAATTTTGGTCATACCGCCCACCCCTAGTAACATGTATTTTATGGTGTCCTTGAAAACTAAAAATTGGTGCTGGAAAAAGTGCTTAAGTCCTGAAAGATTGTAGACAAGTCCTCTTTCAGTAGACTTATTTCAGTAGGCTTTGATGCCTTGAGTTGGTTTTTATGTCTGCTGTTTTGTGCCATTAAACTGGTTTCAACTTGTATTTGTCTGTTTTTGTTTTAGACCTGATGCTGCTGAAAGAGGAGAGTCAAGAACCGAATGGAATGGAAGAGAAAGATCAGTATGAGAAACATGATTTCATGACTGGAGAGAAATCCACAATGATGGAAAAGACTCGCTCTCGAAAAAGAACTCAAAAGACCAAACCTAACAGTTATTTCACATGCCGTCAATGTGGGGAAAAATTCAGTGAAAAACGAAACCTGGAAGTCCACATGAGAGTTCACACTGGAGAGAAGCCGTTCACCTGCCAACAGTGTGGAAAGAGTTTCACTCAAAAACACAACCTTAAAGTCCACATGAAAATTCACACTGGAGAGAAGCTTTTCACCTGCCAACAGTGTGGAAAGAGTTTCACTCAAAAACCAAACCTTAAAACCCACATGAGAATTCACACTGGAGAGAAGCTTTTCACATGCCAACAGTGTGGAAAGAGTTTCACTCAAAAACCAAACCTTAAAGTCCACATGGTAGTTCACACTGGAGAAAAGCCTTTCACATGCCAACAGTGTGGAAAGAGTTTTACTCAAATGCAAAGCCTTAAAGTCCACATGAGAGTTCACACTGGAGAGAAGCTTTTCACATGCCAACAGTGTGGAAAGAGTTTCACTCAAATACAAAGCCTTAAAGTCCACATGAGAATTCACACTGGAGAGAAGCTTTTCACATGCCAACAGTGTGGAAAGAGTTTTACAAAAATGCAAAACCTTAATGTCCACATGAGAGTTCACACTGGAGAGAAGCCTTTCACATGCCAAAAGTGTGGAAAGAGTTTCACTCGAAAACAATGCCTTAAAGCCCACATGACAATTCACACTGGAGAAAAGCCTTATGTTTGCTCTCATTGTGGACAGAGTTTTGCACATAAAAACACCCTTAATTCCCACATGAGAATTCACACTGGAGAAATGCTTCACAACAGTTGTAAATCTTAGAAATCACATTATCATTCACACTGGAGAGAAACTGTTTATTGGGAAAAAAACGTTCATATGTGATCAGTGAGGAAAGAGTTCACACGTAAAGCAACCTTTAATTGCCACATGAGACTTCACGTTGGAGAGAAGCCTTTCATCTGTAAACTGTATGGCAACAATTTTTTACAAGAAGTACTTCACTTCGAGAGAAGCGGTTCATGTGTTGAAATTGCTGTGAAATGGTGCAACGTAACTGAATGATTATACATAAAATTACAAAAACTGAATGAAATAACAACATTACACAGCATTATTTGCTTCATTTTTAGTGAGAGAATGAATTGGTAATGTTTTCAATCTGGACTTGAATATGGTTACTGTGATGTGACATCTGGAAGATTGTTAGAGCTGCAGGTGCCTCTCCACTGATCCTGACTCACTGCTAATTGCATGATGGGGACTACTTCCAGATAGTATTTGCCCATTGCAAAATGCGTCCAGAGAGCAAAGAGATAAGAAACGCAATATTTGCTCGAATCTTGGGGAAGGGATGCGGCCGCCTCTCCATCTAGAATGAAAAATGTAGCAGGAAGCCACTGCAATCCACCAACAGGAATCTGCCCACACACCATCCATGTGCCTACTTCATAAACCTTAGCAGAACTACGACATAGGTGACTGTGAGCTCCTTGCTATCAAACTGGCACCAAAAGTGTGGCACCACTGGCTGGGGGTCCTAGTGATCACGGACCAATGAAACCTAGAATACCTTCACAACACCAAATGGCTGAACCCTCTCCAAGGCCCAGTTGGGCATTGTTCTTCATATGATTCAGCTTCACTGTATCCCATCATGGGTCCAAAAACCACTATTGTCACGAATACACTCTCCTGACGCTCCCAGCTATACGTCACTCACACTTACCAGAGTTCTAATCAAGCTCACCTATTCCCTTTTATCCCTTCATCACGGACACTATATCACCCCAGCACAGACACACAGTCAGCATCTGGTCTCTTGTAGGATTTGAGAATGAATCAAACACAAATGAATCTTCCAGATGATTTGTTCAAACATAATTCCACACAAAAACCTCAACTGGACCATAAATGAAGTGGGCTCCAGCCAGTCCGAGCAAACTAGAGAAACCCCCCAGCTAAGTACTTTATGGCCATGCAAGCTTGTCAAGATGAGCCTAGGTAAAGGAAGAACGTTAGACAGTTTTTAAAAGGCGGATTGGTTCGGAGATGGCATAGCTTGAGCCTGACCAAGATAACGACAGAGGTTGTTTGATTCCAAGACAAAAGATTCAAAAACAGACCTCCTTCTTCTTGAAACCTTTGCATGATCTCTCTTACTTCAGGATTGAAATCTACAGAGAAACTCACAGAAATGCTTTTATATGATCAGAATGCACCAGATCATTCCAAATGCTAGATGGACTTATAATCAAACATCGTTCAACTGAATAATTCTATATCATGCCTATAACCTATATACACTCACCTAAAGGATTATTAGGAACACCATACTAATACTGTGTTTGACCCCCTTTCGCCTTCAGAACTGCCTTAATTCTATGTGGCATTGATTCAACAAGGTGCTGAAAGCATTCTTTAGAAATGTTGGCCCAAATTGATAGGATAGCATCTTGCAGTTGATGGAGATTTGTGGGATGCACATCCAGGGCACGAAGCTCCCGTTCCACCACATCCCAAAGATGCTCTATTGGGTTGAGATCTGGTGACTGTGGGGGGCATTTTAGTACAGTGAACTCATTGTCATGTTCAAGAAACCCATTTGAAATGATTCGAGCTTTGTGACATGGTGCATTATCCTGCTGGAAGTTGCCATCAGAGGATGGGTACATGGTGGCCATAAAGGGATGGACATGGTCAGAAACAATGCTCAGGTAGGCCGTGGCCCGTGGCATTTAAACGATGCCCAATTGGCACTAAGGGGCCTAAAGTGTGCCAAGAAAACATCCCTCACACCATTACATCACCACCACCAGCCTGCACAGTGGTAACAAGGCATGATGGATCCATGTTCTCATTCTGTTTACGCCAAATTCTGACTCTACCATCTGAATGTCTCAACAGAAATCGAGACTCATCAGACCAGGCAACATTTTTCCAGTCCTCAACTGTCCAATTTTGGTGAGCTCTTGCAAATTGTAGCCTCTTTTTCCTATTTGTAGTGGAGATGAGTGGTACCCAGTGGGTCCTCTGCTGTTGTAGCCCATCCGCCTCTAGGTTGTGCGTGTTGTAGCTTCACAAATACTTTGCTGCATACCTCGGTTGTAACGAGTGGTTATTTCAGTCACAGTTGCTCTTCTATCAGCTTGAATCAGTCGGCCCATTCTCATCTGACCTCTAGCATCAACAAGGCATTTTCGCCCACAGGACTGCCGCATACTGGATGTTTTTCCCTTTTCACGCCATTCTTTGTAAACCATAGAAATGGTTGTGCGTGAAAATCCCAGTAACTGAGCAGATTGTGAAATACTCAGACCGGCCCGTCTGGCACCAACAACCATGCCACGCTCAAAATTGCTTAAATCACCTTTCTTTCCCATTCTGACATTCAGTTTGGAGTTCAGGAGATTGCCTTGACCAGGACCACACCTCTAAATGCATTGAAGCAACTGCCATGTGATTGGTTGATTAGATAATTGCATTAATGAGAAATTGAACAGGTGTTCCTAATAATCCTTTAGGTGAGTGTATATATATGTGACTATTATACTTAGATCACATATGCAAGTCATGCAATTGTTATAACTATTAGATGGTTGACTGAAAGTCTTTCTTGTTTCCCATCAGTATGATCGTATGTTCATAATTCTGAAGATGGCTTGATTGAAATCTGTGTAAAATATATCGTATCCTTTTTATAAGAAATCATGACTAAAGTTTACTCTCTTTACTCTGCTCAGAGCGGGAAGGTAAGAGACCACAGATAACGCATGGTTACGATGAGAGGGGAAGAAACAGCAATCTCTCTCAACTAAAGACAGTGTCTAATTGGTCCGAACTCATCCAGGAGGCTGGACAAACATTTGAATTAAAAATCTTAGGACACGAAAAAAGCAGTAGACGATGATTAGAAGACGATTGAGTAACCATGTTGACGAGCAGACAAAAGACTGCAGATAAAGATCAGAAGAACATGGGTTAAACAGCTTCTTTCAAGCCATCTTACTACTCTCGTCTCACTTTTCTTTCTCTTTGTTTATTTTCTTTTCTGTTGAGAGTCTCAGTTCTAAGTTATGTTTTGCTGTAAAGTTTTGGTCAAGGATTTGACTGCAAAACTTCAAAGAATTTCCATCCATCCGCCAACACACCACGTGATTGGCCGCCCAAGACATCTATCCAGACACGATGAGACCGCCAACCAATCAATGAACCCAGGAAACCCCCTAAACAAACGGAATCCCCAAAGGAATGCAAAGACAACCACAAGAAGCCTCCAGACTCTTAACTGAACTGGTGCTTTGATATAAAATCAAATAACCTGCATAAGAAACAATAGAAGGGTTAAATTAATGATTGATGGTTAGTTCAGGCCATGTCTTATGAGTGCAAATTAGGTGAAATGAGTGAAATTTAGGATTTCATCATCTCACTCTTAAAACTCATTCCTTTCTCACTTCCTTTCTTTCTGCAACTCATATGTGTGTGTGTGTTGGAGTTAGATATTAGTTATATGTGTTCTCAAACTTTTTACACCAAGTACCACCTCAAAAATGATTTGGCTCTGCAAGTACCATTATAATGACCAATATTAAAATACAGTAGTAGTAGGCAGGGGCGTCAGGCTTGGGGGGGAAGGGGGGGGGGGGGGGGGTAAAGGGTACCGAGTACCCAGGGCCCGAGGCAGGGGGGTGGGGCCCTTAGAAGTCAGTTTTCTATACATACAGGTCCTTCTAAAAAAATTTGCATATTGTGATAAAGTTAATTATTTTCCATAATGTAATGATAAAAATTAAACTTTCATATATTTTAGATTCATTGCACACCAACTGAAATATTTCAGGTATTTTATTGTTTTAATACTGATGATTTTGGCATACAGCTCATGAAAACCCAAAATACCTGTCTCAAAAAATTAGCATATCATGAAAAGGGTCTCTAAACGAGCTATTAACCTAATCATCTGAATCAACTAATTAACTCTAAACACCTGCAAAAGATTCCTGAGGCTTTTAAAAACTCCCAGCCTGTTTCATTACTCAAAACCGCAATCATGGGTAAGACTGCCGACCTGACTGCTGTCCAGAAGGCCATCATTGACACCCTCAAGCAAGAGGGTAAGACAGAAAGAAATTTCTGAACAAATAGGCTGTTCCCAGAGTGGTGTATCAAGGCACCTCAGTGGGAAGTCTGTGGGAAGGAAAAAGTGTGGCAAAAAAATGCTGCACAACGAGAAGAGGTGACCGGACCCTGAGGAAGATTGTGGAGAAGGACCGATTCCAGACCTTGGGGGACCTGCGGAAGCAGTGGACTGAGTCTGGAGTAGAAACATCCAGAGCCACCGTGCACAGGCGTGTGCAGGAAATGGGCTACAGGTGCCGCATTCCCCAGGTCAAGCCACTTTTGAACCAGAAACAGCGGCAGAAGCGCCTGACCTGGGCTACAGAGAAGCAGCACTGGACTGTTGCTCAGTTTTGCATGTCATTTGGAAATCAAGGTGCCAGAGTCTGGAGGAAGACTGGGGAGAAGGAAATGCCAAAATGCCTAAAGTCCAGTGTCAAGTACCCACAGTCAGTGATGGTCTGGGGTGCCATGTCAGCTGCTGGTGTTGGTGCACTGTGTTTTATCAAGGGCAGGGTCAATGCAGCTAGCTATCAGGAGATTTTGGAGCACTTCATGCTTCCATCTGCTGAAAAGCTTTATGGAGATGAAGATTTCATTTTTCAGCACGACCTGGCACCTGCTCACAGTGCCAAAACCACTGGTAAATGGTTTACTGACCATGGTATTACTGTGCTCAATTGGCCTGCCAACTCTCCTGACCTGAACCCCATAGAGAATCTGTGGGATATTGTGAAGAGAAAGTTGAGAGACGCAAGACCCAACACTCTGGATGAGCTTAAGGCCGCTATCGAAGCATCCTGGGCCTCCATAACACCTCAGCAGTGCCACAGGCTGATTGCCTCCATGCCACGCCGCATTGAAGCAGTCATTTCTGCAAAAGGATTCCCGACCAAGTATTGACTATTGAGTGCATAACTGAACATAATTATTTGAAGGTTGACTTTTTTTTTTGTATTAAAAGCACTTATTTTATTGCT